GCTTGCATATCAGCCTGTAAGATAAAGCTACGTGCCAGTCATGTTACTCTAATTGCTTTTATTTATAGAAGTTTTATGTTATAAAATTACTGCTGTTTTCAGTTTTCAGTGCTGCATTTTTAATACGCTGGCTTCTACATTAGTTCAATGAGAGCAGCAGTAATTTGCTACTTCCTTTTGACCTTTCTCTTTTACCTACTTATTTTGCCATTCTTCGTTATCACTGGAGATAAGACAGATTCTTTTTCATGTGCGCCATATCTTTTCCTGCCTTGTGCTATTTACCTGTCAGAGAGAACTTTGCCCTGGTGTGTTCTTTTCATTGCCTAGTTTATATTTTATGGTATTTTCATGCGTTGTCAGCCTGAAGTAACCAATGTTTTATTTATATGGAAGCAGCCATATCAGGTTCAGCTCATCTGAAATAGGATTCCCCAATTTTCTGTTGAGAATTACTGGTAACGTAAGTAAATGTTGAATCGTGGATACTTGGAAGTCAGACAAGATTGATGATTGTCATGAAAGTAGCCTGTGGCATCCTTCTGGACCTACTCGAGCCAGGGAGATTATGGTGTATTTTTTTTTCCAATGCAAATAAATAAAAGTCTGCAAAATATATTCTAGTTTTGCTTTCTGTGTAAATGTTTTTCACTCTGCCAGTCTGAAGAATTATAGCTTCTTATAACAACAGTGCATGTGGATCAGGACACATAGAGACAGATCCTTTCTCAACAATCTATTTGGATCCCTTCATTAAACAGTTAATTTTAGCCTTATTTGTGAACTCTCTTCAAAAACTGCATGAAACCTGTGGGATTTATTTTTGTTAAGCTTACTGGAAATCAGAATTTAATTAAATTGTGAATGCATAAAACAGCATGAATTTTAGCTCACATGATACAAATCTAAAGCTCCTCAAACCATTTATCAAAGTCTCTGCATGTTTTCCTTATAAAGTAAATGTAGAAGTTACTTAATTCAGTCATTACATATTACTGTATTATTTTGTGTATTACACAGTCTACCTATTCAGCAGTCTGTCTGATTCTTGTCAATTGTGTGAGAGCTCTTGGATAGTATATTAAAACAAACACCACTTTTCAGGTAACTCCATGAGTAGATCCTCCACTTCCAATAAATCCTGCAGTGTTTGGAGACAAACCAGATCCCCACTCAGATTTTTCAACAGTTGTTATTCTAAGAGAATAACACAGAGACCCAATCTCAGTAAAAGTTAGGGCCTGAAAGAAGATACCAGTGTCCAACTTCCTTTTCTATCCTCCCACCTTAGCCTAAAGGAGACATCAATGGCCTAGGCTCCTGGGCAGTTATGCTTGTTGCATGCCTCTGAAATAGTATTTTCTTTTTGTGCATTTGTGATCCAAAATGTATAGCTGCAGTGGGGAAATGGTGTTATTGTTCCTTCATGCATAGACTCAAATACAAGTCTTCCAAATGGATGAATAGAGTATACCTACAAACACTGTATAGTCATGATTCTGTTTCTAAGCCAGAGTACTGTAGACAAAGTCTTTTTGGAAGCCATCTACTACAGTGGAAGAGCAAGAAGGTAACTGGAAGCAGGCAGCATTGATTTATCAAGGACAAATTACGTCTGTTCAACCTGGTTGCCTTGAATATTGGAATGACTGACTCTGTGAATGAGTGGAGTTTACATTGACTTTAGTGAGGCTTTTGACTTTTTGCCACAGTTTTAACATTCTTGTAGCCAAACTGAATGAGAGTGCTGTATAGGCTATGAGGTGGGTGGAAACCTGGTCAAACCATCAGGATCAGTGAGTAGGTTTTGAAGCCCACCGGGTGGCTGATTACTAGTTGTTTTCTTTGGGCGCTGTTACTGGGAACAGATATTCTTTAATGTTTTCTTTAACAACTTATTTGATAGTACATAATGCCCTCTTAGCAAGTTTGCATTTCACAAGAAGGTGAGGAGAGCAGTCACTATGCTGGAGAGCATGGTTGTCAAACAGAATGATCTTGACATGCCGGAAAATGGGTTGACAGGAACCTCATGAAGTTCAATAAAGGCAAGTGCAAAGACTGAGACATGGGAAAGAATAACGTCATACACCAGTTCAGGCTGGGTGCTGGCCAGAATGTGCAGCTAGATAATAGTTCTCTTCGGTGGGTGATTTTAGGGAAGACACATTCTCCTCAGAAATGAGTAGCAAAAGGGCAAGAGAAGACACACAAATTCCACTAAGAAATAAGGGAAACAAAAAATCACCATGTGGGTGAGTACACTGGCAGAGGCGCCCAGAGAGGCTGAAAATTTTTTATGATATTAGAAATCACCTGGATACAGACCTGAGCAACCTCATCTGATTTCATTTATCCCAGGCTTTAGGAGGAGATTGGATCAGATCAACTTCTGAGGATATTTCCAGCTCGAATTGTTTTATTTCAATAATTCATTATTAATGGTAAGTTATCATCAGCACAATAGCCATGTCTGCCCCCTAGTTTTTAAGATTTACAAAGGAATTTGAGAGATCATGGGATTTTGTATCATTTTTGCTCTCTCTTTATTTTTTTAACAGTAACACAGTCTACAAATTAATAAAAGAGATCTCATTCTTTATTAGTCGTAGCTTAGGCTCCAGGGCACATCTACTAACTACTCTTACCATGACCTTGTTATAAGCTAGAAAGGTGCATATTTGTTTAACAGATTATTTATATTATAGTAATCATAACTGGAACTGAAGACTACCGGAGGCCAAGACAGTGTCCTTGGCCAAACTGGAGTGAATGTGAGCTCATATATGACTTGACTATCATATATCATGTGCTAGTATTAAAAATGAACTGTACATCACTACAGCTTCTTTTTCGTCCCATCATGGCCATTGCTTAGGATCACTATTAGGACATAAATTCAGAATTTAAGATTCAGTGACATCTGTAGTATTTACTTTTCACTAATGATGTACAATGTTAATGATATGAACAGTTACAGCATGAAAAGCCTGTCGGAGGAATCCAAAGTCTTTGCTTATTTGCACAGAACTGAGCTTCGTGATAGAAGACTGACTAGGAACAAAATAGATTCTAGTATTGTCTCATGCGACATGAACTAGATGCGGAACAACCTACCATTTTTTTTCTGTAAGACCAAAATGAGGTATTAGATGTATTTTAAACTTTTGTGAAAAAAAAAAAAAAAAAGTGAATGGCCAAAGAAATCCAGAAACTTAAATTGCTTGGAAGGAGGGTGTATTCAAGTTACTGCTGAATAATCACTTAAGATTAGAGTCTATTGTACCATAGTTCAGCAAAGTGTTCTGCAGTAAAACATTTATTCTGCATAAGGTGCAGTCCTTTCATCATGTATGTAGAGAACTAATTAGAGAAGACATTATCAAATGTATACTTGTTTTATATTTTCTTGCCAGGCCATCCCATGGCAATGGGAATGCCATGGTAAGACTCATAAAGCTAGTGACGTGGATGGCCAATGCTGCATCCTTAATAAAGTAAAAGAAACATGAGCAAATAATGTGTCTTGCAGTCCAAAGTCCTTTGGTACAAATTTAATCCATCAAAACTTTTGAACAAATCAAATCTGGAAGAGAAAAATCATATTCAATCTATGTTTCACATTCTGTGAATCATTGTTTTGACTTTGGACCAGAAGTCCTAAATGTGGGTTTATTTTATCACATCCCTCAGCTATCTCTTTTGAAATGGGGACTGTCAGCATTTATGCCTGTAAATGGAAAGGGAAACTTGTCCAAGTCAGCATTTGGAAAAGAGAGGCACCAGTTACCGGAAAACTGATGGAAATGGAGAGTATAGATATTGGAAAGAAAGAGGGAAGGCCCAAGTAAGAATCTTAGAGGTTGTAACAGTTCTTTTCCTGGTCTTTGAGAACTGGGACTTGCGAAGGCATCTCTTAAAGAACTCAAGAAATTTAAAGTACTATAAATCAAAAGTCTTGGGTTGACAGTAGTCTCCTTAGTCAAATCTGTTTTTGTAATACAATTAAAGAAAGTCAATAATGGTGCCTCTTGATGTCAATAACTAATGATTTACTTAAAAACAAATTTAACAAGATGCTCCAGGACTTTGCTTTTTTATTTTGAGGACACATTCAAGTTTCAGCTGATCTGAGTCCTAGCAGTAAATGCAGGGCAGCCCAATGATCTTGACTCATTAAGAAAGAATAAACTTAGTCTGTATCCTAAAGAACAGGATATTTGAGTCATGATATGAGATGAAATAGGGTTAAGAACACCTTTTGTATTTATTATATATGACATATATAAATACACACATATGAATATAAATATGTATGTGTAAGGGGACAAATAGGCTCAAGGTATCTTTTTAAATGTGCTTGCTTTCAAAAAAAAAAGAATTATTTTCTTGTTAAACGAAGGTAGGTGACAGATAAAAATAATTTAGAGCCATATAAATGCTGAGACTCTCTGTTTTCCTCTGACTTAGTTTTAGAGCATAACAAAAAGTCCACTGAGGAGTGGGCGGAAGTTTCAAGGGGAAGTCCAGCCTGGATAGACTGGAATTTCTAGTAGATTTTGAATCAGTCCATGTTAAACAACTCATTTCCTATGCATATTCAGTTACTTTTTAAGACCAAAAACACCAAAGGAGAGAAAATACTGCAAATCCAGTGATCAATCTTACCTTACATTTGTGCTTGCTTTCTTCCTTTTTTTTTTCTTTCTTTCTTTCTTTTTTTTTTTTTTTAACCTTCCTCTCCCTTTTTTAGTTTTTAGTCTAGGACTTAAACTCTAGTACCCTTTCTGAAGAGATTTATTTTTAGTCATGCTTGCATATCTTGTGCATGAATATGACTGTTTAGGAATGCTGTAAAAAACAATATCAATGAGATTTATGGTGTAATTAATTTACAGACGTCTCCTATAAATATCAGTTCATGTGGATTATTTCCCTCCTTTCTCGGGTTATTTGTGTTGGGTTTTTTTTTTTTTTTGTCCTTTCTTATTTGATACCAGCTTTCAAAACAGAAATGAATCCACGAAAATTGTTCAATAAGAAATGTGTTCATCTCAGTTACTACGAAATTTTATTTGCTTCTCTGCTCACAGTTTTTGTGTGCCTTTGTGTTGGACTGATTGTATTTTCATGGCTACTGATCCATGAGTTAAAACAAGGTAAGCACTCGACTTTTAACCCTTTCAGGAGTTCTTCGGTAGAAGTTCAGACTTTTTTAGACCTAGTCAATATAGTTTTCAGATTTCATGCTATGTTTTTCATGCTTAAGAGTTGTTTTGTTGTTGTTGTTGTTGTTTACATTCTTCTCCTTCAATTTTTCCACTGGAAACATATGTAAATAAAATAAGCAAATATATAAACAGTTAAAGCATGGTCTTAAGTTGGCTGAGGTCAAAGAAAATATTTTTTGTGTCTCAGACTTTGGAAAAGGTCCTTGTCATATGATCCAAGCTGTAAAATTTCTGGCTATTGAGTTAATTCAATTTGACTATTGAGTCAATTTGGCTATTGAAACAATTGAATGGAGAACATAATATTCTGAATTGTTTCTAAATTGGACCTTTTTATTCATGTGTAAGGTTTGATTCAAAAAGACTGAAGTCTGCAAGGAATGTTAGGTGTACTACAGCTCTTGGAATCTTTTCTTTATTAAGATATGTTTTTTTAAGTAAAATATCGGTGTTTGAGAGATCCTAGATTGTACTGACAGCTGCCAGCCGTATGGAAAGCTGATTCTCATACACAATCAATGCTCAGAATGTAATACAGTCAAACTACAGATTTTGGAAGTAAATTAAATTTAAATATATATAGGATGATTTTAATTGAAAATAAAAGTTTGGTTTAAAGAAACCGTGACTAAATTTTGCTTAAGTCATCAACAGTTGACATCTTAACAGTACATAACATCATTTTTTTGGTCTTTGTTCTACAGATATCAGCATATCAGCATTTTTCAAAACATAAATTCTGTTCTCAGAAAAAGAAAATCCTGCTTTATCAGAATGTTGCTATTTAGCAACATTGGTCTTTTAGTTACTGTTGTTTCATGAATTGGGTTTTAAAACTAGTCTCCTTGTTTGCTTTATACTCCCATCACCAGAACACAAACATATTCTAGTAAAAGAAAATGAGCTTATCTGTAATGATGGTGTATCATTGCATCTAAGTTTTGAATTGAAAGACTTTCTTACTTGGTTTTAGAAGATAGGAATAGATAGGAATTTCCTCATGTACAAATAATTTTAAAGCACCCTTTAAAAAATAATTATATTTGGCATACAAAACAGAAAAAAAAAACCCTTCCTACTTAGAAACCTTTGTTTAAATACATTTGCAATTGTCATTAGATGAAATGGTCTTTGAGGAACTTAGAACAGGTTAGAGTTACCAGTTAAGAAGTTGATACTACTAGGTTGACAAGCCCTCATTCACAAGCTTTTTATTAGAGTACTTTTTAGTTACCTGCTTTTGTACTAAAACTCATTTTAGCTCTAAGTGATTTCAATCACAATCTAAAAAAATCACAATTGTGCCATTGGTTAGCAAAGAGCATTTTCTATCAACAACGTTAATTCAGGTTCTATCTGAACATTTCCAAAGTGTTACACTGTGGGGTATAATGAATTTTTAAGCATATCTCATATGCTGTACCTTGTTAAAAGGGAAGATTAAATTTGCAGTGGGAACCAATTATCTACTGAACTCATAAAGTCTCATGTAAACATTTAGATATGTACATACATTTTCACGTATACATTGATAAAAGAAAAATAGTTTAACCAGTCTAACAGAAGCAGATTCTTCAATGGTGCCTTCAAAAATCATGTACATTTAAATAAAAGATGCACAGCTTTTAATGTAGAAAGTCAACGTAGTAATTATAGGCACTTTAAATTCAGAACACACAAAAAATCATAATTCATTAGGCATCACCCTTCCTACATGCATTTGTCCCCTGTGTGCTACCTGTAGCTTGACATCACTGTCTTCTTTAGCAATTGTCTCTCTCACAGTGCTCCCAACAAGTCCAGTGTTTAATCTGAAAGTAATGAGAATCAGACACATAGCATTCATAAGAATATGTTTATAGTTATAAATATTGTCTTTTCAGCAGATGAAAATGATCAGACACTTTTTAAAATTAGCACTAGGCAAAGCAGCTCTGACTAGAAGGGCTAACCATTACTATACTGATGATCTATGTGTAATAAAATCAACAAAGTATATTTCCTATGCTTTCTATAATTAAAATATTTTATTTTTAATAATCCAGCTGAAGCAGATGGAAATGATCACAGCTACATGGGGACTTTTAAGATACTGTCTGGGACATCATTCAGTCCCGGATTGCAGGACAGTTCATCAGATGATTTCAAGATCCTTGCCTTTGATGTTGAACGATTGGTAAGAACCCACTGGTCTAATTAATTCAAGAGTATGAGACAGGTGTACGTTACTACATTAATTTCCTAGCATTGTCTGCTGTTGATACATTTTTTCTCTTTCCAGATGGGGATATTTTAATGATTAAACTTTACCAAAACTTACTATATTTTTGTATGTGAAGATCAGTGAGTCATCAAAAAAAAGACATTAGCTTTCATAGTCTACATTTGATAAGGAAGAAAAAATGTGTGTTAGTCATGATTGCAATATGCAACTAGGTATATTTTTAATTCTTATGTTGGTCCAAGATTTTTTTTTCTCTATAGATAGAAGAAATTTTTCAAACAAGTCGTCTGAAAAATGATTTTGAGAGATGTGATGTTTTGCATTTCAGGTAGGTGCACTTTAATAAAAAATTTCAAATAAATATAGAAAAAGTCCAATTTAGTGATTTCCTTCTTAAATAGCTGTGAATACCTTGCTTTTAAAGATATGTTTGGAAAATCCTGTATTATTCATTCTGATTCTTTCAAGAGCTGCTGTCAGAAGTTTGGCACCAATTCGTTCCCCTGAAAAAACTTCCATTTCAGAATTTTATATGACCATTTCTTGATCAGGTCAGTAAGTCTGATAAGCCACTGAACCAGAAAACATCCATGTCTGAAAGAAATAATTAAAAAGCCTAAAAAGTTTTTTTTTTAAAAAAGCAAAGTTTATTAGTTGTGCTACCTTTACATCGCTATCAATTTGTTCCATCTTGAAGAAGGTTCAGGATAGAGGTCTAAATTTTTTTCAGGCATAATTTGAGGTGATGGTACCTCCACAGCCAAATATCCCAATTAATTCATATCCCTTGAGGTCTTAGTAAATGGGGCTGTCATTTGACAGCAGGTAAAGCTGCTTCCTGCATGTCCTATAGAGGCACAGTAATATTCTTCATTTGTTAAAGCTTGTTTAACCTCATTTTCAGCATCCTTTTGTCAGTTGTCATAATGAAGACTACATAATAAAAAAGTGCAATAAATGCAGTAAATGACATGACATTAATTCCATCAACACTAGGTAGAGATCCAGATTCAGGAAAGCAAAGTGTGTAGTACAGTCTTCTATTATTAAATAGTTTCAGGATAAACTTCCAACCTATTCCTGTGACTGTAAACTGAATGCAAATCATGAATGTAAACTGAATGCTATTTTTTTTCATTAAAGGGAATATGAAGGAGGTCCTGAAAGCTCCAAGAAGTCTGAAATTGGGTATTTACGTATTTACTTATATATGGACGAAGAGACAATTATTCTATTAATTTAGAAACTTTTGCTGTAGAATAATGAACGATGAAGAGCTATGGCTTAGGGATTGGCTAGGTCCATATAAAGAGCCTACAAAGCATACCTTTTCTACAAAACATCATTTAAGATTAGAAGAAAAGAAAATGTAGTAGTCACTGGTACTGTCAATTTAGAAAGAAAAATGAGAAGGGACAAGGATAGTGATATTGGCAATAAACTAGTTAAAAGGAAAGGAGATGTGCTGAGATTGTTTATGGAAAGTTGCTCAGGCTCAATATTATTGCTAGTAACTTAAAATTTTTGAAAGTACATATATTAAAGAAGAATCTGATGACATAGTATGGATGGCAACTGTAAACAAGGGAAAGATCAGGACTCTGGAAAAATTGAAAGATATTGAGAAATGAATTACAAAATTATTTGCCCTGTACACAAGACTTTAAAGAAAAGATGTTATTGCATGACAAATGATGGTAACAGTAAAAGAGCTTATCTGAGAAGTAAGAAATCTTATATATACTAGCTATCCTTTCTATATAATTGTCATTCACTAATATGAACAGTCTCTAAAAAGGTAAAAGAGTTAAAACATTAATGCTATATTATAAATATATTCATTAATGATAAATATCTTTGAGGAAAAGAAAAAAACAAAACAAACAAACAAACAAAAAACAGAGTTACCATGTACAATTTTGATGTACCCTGTTCAAGAAAGAATGATTTGTTCCAAATGAAAGAGGTACAGAGGGGGCTACTAGGATGGCCAGGGAACTGAGAGCAAACTAGAAGATATTGATTTGTTAAGTCTAGAAATAGAAGGATGAAAAGAGTATATGAAAGCTTTATGTAGAAACATTAGGTGGATAGATAGAGATTGTCAATTCTCAGTTTTGGTTGAGACTGCTAGCAAAAGAATATCAGATATAAGCAAAGCAGAAATACATATGTGCTAAAAAGAAGTAGATTTGAATTATAATAGTCTTTTGATAGGATTAGAAGGGAAAAAAAAAAGGTAATTTTTTAGAAAGAGGGAGAAGAGTCTCTTTGTGAAGGACTTTTTAGTGTGAAGAGAATGGAACAGGCAGTGTGGGAATAGGTTCCTTCCAGTCTTCTCTCTCTGTGAAATGGACACAGAGGTTTTTTCTGCAAATAAAATAGTATTTATCTTTTTGGATAATTTTGGTTGTCTTTTTTAGGAGAGGATGAATTATGTCAGAAAGCAACTTCTTATTGCTTTCCATCAACAATGGGATAAGATCCAGATAATTGCACTGAAAAAATCTGTATTGCCTCAGATCTATGCAATATCTACATTTTGAGACAAAAAACCATAAAAGTTACAGAAAATCTAATCTCAACGAATGTTCGATGTAGCTTTTAATATATCAGAAAGCATATATCTTCCTTTCTACTGTGAAAATACTTCAAATATTACTTTGTCTCAAAAATATTTTATAGTTGAATCTTTTCATTAAAAGGTTGTTTACCTATTTGGGCAATCTGCTTGTTATTTCACCCTTGAAACTCCCCTGATTCGTAAAAACATCAATAAAATCTTTTATTTACTCAGCATGACCTAGAAATTATCAAAATCATGTAAGAAATTAAAGGAACTATGCTCAACATAGTGGGAGGACTAATCAATCCTTATCAAAAAGCACTTTTGAATTAGCTGGAATTGGATAGTGTAAGTTCTTAAGAATAAAGAAAAGATTGCACCTAAGTTAAGTAAATGGAGAGAAACTTCCTCTTCTTTAGCAAGCATAACTCATACTTGACCCAACAAATATATCTAGCTACAGGTATAAAATATAACAATTGGATCTAGAAAAGACAGGAGAGTGCAAGGAGACAATATTCTGGATAAAACTGAGGTCCCACAGAAGTTAAGAACAGTTTAATCAATGATTTTCAACCAGTAGTTTCAACCCTTACACTTTCCTTATTAGAATACAAGTAGTCACAAGAGATTCTCACAGAGGTAGCTTCCACAGATTGTTACAGATGTTTGGTTTACCAAAGTCGCTACTTTTATGATACTTAAACAGCATGAATATTTCAAGGTTTACCACTAATATTTTAAAGCTAAAACTAGGAGACCTCTTCAATAATCAATAAACTATTTATTTTGTTTATTCAAATCTAACTCCACTGTATCCATATCAATAGGTTTTAGATTGTTGTTGTTTTCTTTTTTTAACTAAAGAAATTAAGAGGTAAAAAAGAAAGAAAATATGGTTCTTCCAGGTTCAAACCTTCCTGAAAATTAAGAGGTATTTCTGTGTGTCATGTTGTCCAACCAACACGTCACAACACTTCAAGCTTTTGCAAAACTCTGTCTAGATGGTAAAGTTAAATATCAAATATACTTAATTACCTTGTTTCAATAACCATCTTCTCCCGTGTTTTATATTCTTAGTGTTATTGCAGTCTTCTACCTTTATTTTACCCGGTGGGTATCAACTGAAGACACAAAAAATGAACTGGCTTGGGGTATAGCAGCAAACAGAACTAGCCTTACCCAGACTTTGGAAGTTGATCTAAACAGCATACAAATCACAGGTAATGCTAATAAACATTTTTC